ATTAACTCAGGTTAATTATGTGTAACCCAGTGGGTGATATAAGAGACACCAGGGAAATACAGATCCAACTGCAGGATCTCTCCCTCCAGCTCCTGCTGCCCATGGGAACTGCTGTATTTCCCATCCCAGGACAGCATTTGGCTTGTTTTTTTCAGCATTTTTTCACCATCTGGACAACTCATTTTGGTTTATTTAAGGTGGTTATTCAGTTGTAACACTTCAGATTTACTCCAGGTATTAGCAAGGTCACGTAGACAAGAACTTAAAATCCAGGAAGAAAACGAACTCCAGTATTCTCACCTCAGCTGAAGGGGTCCTTTCCTTACTGCTATGAACTCTCTACCTTCCACTGGGCAACAGCTAAAAAGGGATCTGATCCTCAAGGAATTGTTGAGATTTAACACTGGCACCGACTGCAGCAAGAGCTGCAAGTCTCCTCTGCTGCAAAAAAGAAATCAGGCCACTTATTTTAGTGCCCAGCTCCCTCCCTGTGCACTGGAAGACACTGCCCTAATTATTGCCTGCAGCCAAGTGAGAGCAAGGCATTGCTCCCAGAGGAGCAGGAAATTCCAGATAATTTGGGAATAACCCCAGTGTGGGGCTGAAGCTGTTCGGTCCGACCTCGAGGCCTCAGCCAGAGGCACAGGAGAATTCAGGAACACCCTCACACCAGCTCAGCTGAAGCCCAGGAACACAACCAGGTCATCTCCATGGAAAACTTACTCTTTATCTTCCTTCTTCACGGAAACAGCGATGTCTTTGATCTTGTTCACAGCCTGCCAAGACACGGGGCAACAGCTGGATTAATGATTTATGCTCCTGAACTCAGCACATCTCCAATTTTTCCCTTTGTATTTTAAGATAATCTTTTATTCCCTCCTTCAACATCACTGAAGTTTCAAGGATTGAAGCTACTCCACCCCTTCCAGCGCAGTAATTCCAAGAAACACAGCAATTTAAGAGGAGTGGGAAGAGACTCTGCTGTTTTCTGGGAAAACACAGGGTTTTTGAGGGATTGCACCTGCAAAAAGCCAGTTTAAGGGGACCAAGAGGTTTGATGAGATGCAAGGTTTACTAAGGACCAGCAGAGATCAGGAGAACAGCAAGGGAATTTTCCTGATTAATCGTTCATCCTTGGAAAAAAAACACAAAGGGAAAGAGAGCACCCCAGAGGGAGCGACTGGTAACAACAGCTCCCTGACAGCAGAAAGGCAGCTCACGTTGGCAGGAAGACACCAGGAGATCATCAATGACACTCCCCACGCCCATTCAGCATTCAGTTTTCCCAAGCCCAAAGCACAGTTTGGCTTCATTAATCAGAGAATTGTTTCGGTTGGAAAAGATCTTTAGGATCGTTTAGTCCAGCACTGCCAAGGCCACCACTGACCCCTGTCCCCAAGGGCCACATCTACAGGGATTTTAAATCCCTGCAGGGATAGGGATCCACCACTGCCCTGGGCAGCTGTGCCAGGGCTGGACAGCCCTTTCCAGGAAGAAATTTTTCCCAATATCCAACTTAAACTTCTTCTGGTGCCACTT